CAAGTTAATACAAATATTTTAAACTTTAATTTATCACTTATGGTGAGTTGAGACTTAAGTCCTTCCCAACAAAATTCAAATACAGTTATCGAACCGTTAATTACGAGAAATACAGGAATATTCCGAGAGTTCGGACATTCATTCATAAACACAATTCCTATAAAAATATTAATTAAAAAAAATTACATCTATTTATTTAGTTATAGATGAAATTGCTGGTTGTGTATACCCATGGTAATATTGCATATTCCTGCGCACAGCTTAAATAAACCTGTTAATTATAAAATATAGTAATTATACTGTACTTAATTGAATGATTAACGGTAATTACAAAGTACTAATAGATAGATATTATCAGCACATTTCTTGGTTGCTTTTGATTCTGATTTTGGTAAAGAATTAACTGATATATTGTCAATACATATCTCGTTGTCATCGGTTCCGCAACACTTGTCTTCATTTTTATTGCCATCAATTATAGCATAATTTTTGCCATCATTTTCATCAATAATTCTGCAAATATATTTACCGTTACTCATTGATTGTGTTTATAAATTATATGTTTTACAAACACATCAAGTTAAATGACAAATACTGTACTTTAATTAAATATGTTTTGCCTTAAATACCCATTATATTGATATGTGATGTTTAAATGTAGACTACATTTTGGAGTTAATAAATGTAGACTTTTTACAATATGTGTAAATAAATAGCAAAAAATAGTTTCATGCCTTACCTGCAAGTTAGAATACAATTGTTATAAATAACTCGTTGTTTCTAGCTAAATTAAAAAATATTTTTAATAAATTATTTATTTTGTGATATAAAATAAAATTTATTGTTCTTAAACAAAAATTACTACACTTTATAATATTATTGATAGTTATTATGCATAGCTTTAATGATGCTATTTTTAATTAAAATTTTTTAACAAGTCACAATGAATTAAAAATTAATTACAAAATAATGGCAAACGATTTAGCAATAAAATACAGACAACTTTTGATATTTATTTTTGATCGTTATCTTTCTTGACATACCAACCGACCAAAAACAGACCACTTATACAACAACAGAATAGCAATAGACTTACGGCTATTGTTAACAGATATGTATTAATCAAATACAGGGCCAATAGATAGACATTTCTGTTGCAATAGTTTTGGGCGTCGACATCTTCAAAGTCCGGAGCGGCACTCGTATACACCACAACAATCCCTGGATATTAAATACATAGAGTATTAAAAACATAAATGCTTAAAATGCTATAACAATCGTATCAGTGTTTAACAACAGAGATAATACTTACACGTAATGAAAATAATTATATTGAGAAGATATAAGAGATTTGTTGTAATGAATACCACTCTCTTCATCACATCTTTGGTCTGATTGATCCGACCCTTAAGTCTTTGCCANTCATCACATCTTTGGTCTGATTGATCCGACCCTTAAGTCTTTGCCAAACAAATCCCAACACCACTACCAGACCGTATACGATGAGCACCGCTGGAATGCTCGGCGCGTTTGGACACGACTTTACATAAATACAACCTAATTGTACATCATTTAAGCATGTTACAATTAAATAGTTATTCAAATGGCAATTTATATTAACACCATTCTTACCCATTAGAAAACAAATTACCCCAATGACTACCAAGATTATATCTATATTTTAAACAAAATATATACTTTAATATAATTAGCATTATGGTGAATGTGTTTATCAATGATAGGCTGTGTTGTATTACTTATGATGAGGACACACATGGGATTGTAGTACTTTTTGATTTGTTTCTTCGGCCCCGACAGTGGTTTCTTAGCACCGGTAGCGCCGAGTCCTGTAATCTTCACATTCTCTTTATTCGAGTCATCCATTAATCCATTTTCGGCTTCATTTTGATCCTTATTTTCTTCACTCATTTTGTACTTTGATTTTTGAAACAAAATATAAAAACACTTTTGATTTGTTTTATAACTAAAATATTGTATTTGTTAGAAATGCACTCAATTATGAAAAATTATGCAATTATTAGATGTTTCATAAATCATTAGTTTACTGAAATGGTGGATACCATAGGAAAAATACTAAATACTCAACAAATAGAAAATTATTGAGTCCTAGTTTTTTTGTCTAACGATTAAATTGTTTAAATAAAATGCATTTTTATCTGCAAAACCATTTTCTCGTAAAATATTATTAGGTATAAAGTTTCCATAGATATTGATAGCAAAAAATCTTTATACTCACACCTCTTTCCACACATTATTGTATACAATAAATTACAATTAATAAAAATACCTATTATTTAATAAACGAATCATTACATGCTATAAATGTTAAGGAAGTGAAATTTATACCAGTTTACTTTTGATGGATATCAATCAATTTGCTCGTACATCAATTAATTTTTATAAAATATAAATCTGAGCATTGATTTTAATTGCAATATAAATTTAAGCTTTAATTATTAATTAAGTTTAATTAATATTTATTTTACACAACAATTAATATGATATAAAAATATTATTTTAATAGTAAAACAATGAATGTTAGTTCCTATCAAGAGATAAGAGTTTACATGTAAATAATTGCCGGAAATGATTGATGAATGTAAAAATACTAAGTAATTGGGCGGCTATTTGTGTTGATTATACATATTATACA